CCATGCTCCTGGTCGGTACGTGCAGGTGTCCTGCCACTGGCTGCCCAAGGTTGACCCGCATTGGCTGCAGGTTGGATCTCTCCACGCGATGCAAGTGCTGTCTTCTATTCTGGTCAGGCTTTCACAGACCAGATGTAAGCCAGGAATGCTAGAAATGTCCATGAACCAGGAAAGAAGGAAATAGAGTAGTCTGTTGAAAGCATAAAACCTGGGATAGAAACCATCCTGGCAGTAGTATTGCGCAGAGTCCGTCTCCTGTGGTTGCTGGAGAACTTCCACGGGTCCACAGACGTGCTCTCTGGGGCGTTACTCCTTCAGGGAGTTCATTACTGCCCTGTAGATTTTAGCACTTGTTGCAAGGCTCTGAAACATTTCAAAGGCAAATCAAGAGGCGTTTGACTCTTCTGTCGGCACGCACCAAGTGTTCCCACTTGCACTCTGACACCTGGTTTTCCGTGGGATGGAAGTTGTGCCCAGCCCCTAGCCCCACATCCTACCTGCACGCCTGAGCCTGTGCCACAGGTCACTGGAGGTAAGATGAAGAGACCGGGTTTGTCACCCCTGACTCACCTGCCTCGTCGCATCTTGTGTATGTGTGTCTCTTGGCGTCAGAACTATAACACGAGCTGCTGTCTTAACCCAGCTCTGTCTGCTGGTTTCTCTCTCCACAGCCTGGCATGGGGCTCTTTCACCTGCTGCATGGCGGCCTCCGTTACTACCTTGAACTCTTACACTAAGACTGTCATTGAGTTCAGACACAAGCGCAAAATCTTTGAGCAGGGCTTTCGAGAAGAGCAGAACTTCCTAGACCAGGAAGCCATCAAGTACTTCAGAGAAAGGTCAGTGCAGTCAGTTGCTCCACCAGTGGAGTTTCTCATGGACTCTGCTAGTCTCAGAAAATCCAGGCTCTCACCTACTTCAGCACATGTGGGTGAAGTCTCTGGGATACTTGGAGAAGATCTGTGTTAAAGACAAACACAAAAGATCCTCCTTGATATGTTTTTTCTTAAATGCTGTGATGTCCCAGTGCCTGCCTTTTCTTATATACTCAGTTAAAACACAAGACCGACAAGTCATTACAGTATGCATCTGATTCATAGGAATTAATGATGATTTTCCCAACCAAGATGATTTTCCCTCTCTGGAAAGGTAAAATTGTGGGGATATAACAAATGTTACAGCCATCCTTTCTCAGCACATGTAATAGGCACCTCCCAATTAATCCTGTCTCTTATACACATCTGGTGCCTGGGGAATGACACATGGAGGAAAATTTCTCTGGAAAGTTTCTGATAATTTCTAATCATTAACTCAGAAATGCTGAAAAGTTCAGAGAAGGAAATAGAGAATGAAGACTCTCAGTGTGACCCCAGAGCCAGCATTTCGTAAACCATAACAATGAGGTAACTATGATGAATATGTTTTGGGTTTTATGGACCTTGGTGAAATGCTGTTTATTTTTAAGCGTAAAGAGTGGTTCTCCTCCCTGTAAGAGTTACGTCCCACATTAGGTGAAGACCTCTTTAACAGCAGTGCACCTCCATGCCAGCTGTGCCCCAGATGTGCTGGGAGGGCACCTATAGTGCCTCTGGTAGCTGAGCTCAGGGCTGTGCTCTCACGTTCCTTTGTGGCTCAAACAACACAGGGTTGTGTGTTTGTTTTCCTTCTAGAGGGGCTGAGCTTGAGCACCCACCAGTCCTCAGAGCCACTGAAGCGCCCTGCCTGGAGAATCCCCTGCCCAGTCCTGGCTTGTGCCAGCGCACAGACCAACCTCCAGGCGTTGCCAGTGCCTTGGCAGTGGGGTCACCTAACAGGGACCAAGAGGTGGGTTTTCAGTGCCGGCACATCAGAGCAGATCACAAACAGATCCCCATTTTGAGAAGAGGTATTTAATAGAGGGGAAATAGTCACAGAAAAAAAAAAAAAA